AGGAGGGGTCGCTATGAGTCGAGGAGGGGTCGCTATGAGTCGGGGCCGACTCGAAGGCACATAACAACAACAACAACAACATTAAATTCTATACAATTATCCCCAGCCTACGTTCAGGGAGCTCCGGTAGCGTAGAGCCTAAGGCACTTGACTGCTAACCAGAAGGCTGGTGGTTCAAACACACCAGCCACTCCTTGGAAGGAAAGTTGGGCAATCTACTTCCTTCCGTAGTGATACTGCCTCCGAAACCCGAAACCCCAACTCCACGGCTCATAACAACAACAGATTCCGATATCCACCACCAGAGTGAAAATAATGAGTATTTCCATCACAGCAAGGATCTCATCTTTTACCGCTTTAAAACCATACCCCCAAACCATACACAAGCCGGCAACCATGAATCTGCCATTTCTAAAATTGTGTCATTAAGAAAAACGGAATGATACATATGTAACCTGCTGGGGCAGTGCATAAGCATTTGACTACTAACCAGAAAGTTGAAGTTCAAACCCACCAGGCGCTCTTGAAGGAAGATAGGGCAATCTACTTCCGTAAAGATTTTACCCCTTGGAAACCCAGTGGGGGTCGCTATGAGTGGGAATCCACCGGATGCCAGTAGATTTGGTTTTAATTTAACCTTTCAAGATTGACTTTTTTTTTTTTTTTTTTGCTAATTTGTTGGGAGCTGTGGTGGCTTATTGCCTAAGGCATTTGACTGCTAACCAGAAGCCTGGCGATTCAAACCCACCAGCCACTCCTGGGAAGGAAGGTAGGGCAATCTACTTCCTAATGATACCGTTTGGGAAACCCAAGGAGGAGTCGCCATGAATCGATCTGACTCCGTGGCGGTGAGTTTGGTTTTTTGGTTAATTTGCTAGAGTTTCATATTTTACTTTTTCACACCAAGTTTCGGTCTTTGGAAGTAACTAACCAAAATAAACAAATACCAAAAGATGGCAGCAGTTAAGCCCTCCTTTCCTAGACAGAAACATCTTTTTATATGTAGATCAGATTGCTTGAAAA